TCGTGGCCTGGCACGCCGTGTCCAGAACTGCCACTCCCGGTGGATCCTTTCTCCTCGTAGCGTACACGTCGACCTCGTCGGGCACGGGGTCGATCATCAGGACCTTGAAGCCCAGCACGCCACTATCCTGCTCCTGCTGCGCCTCGGTGGCGCTGTCCGCACTCCACTCGCCGATCGCCGAGAGCCAGATCAGGTACCACGCGAGCCGGTACTGGTCGAGCCTGAGCTTGCCGCCCGGCGCCTCCTGACCCATGGACCTCTTGATGATGTTGACGCCGTAGGCCACCGCGGACGTCCTCTCAGCGAACTCGGCGAACGTGAAGCCTGAGTACTTGCCAGTCTTGATCTTCTCGATGCCCTTCGGCGGGTCCTCGACGTTGAGGCCGTCCACGTCCTGGTCGAAGTCCGCCGGGTACGCCGCGTAGATCTCGTCGTCCTCCGCCTCGTGCTCCTCGACCTCCGCGTCGGGGCTCACGGCCTCGCCGCCGTCCTCGGGCTCCTCCTCCAGGTCGGACCGGGGACCTCGATCTCCTCCGCCGTGCGCTGGGTCCTCGGTGCTGCCGATCTCGACGAGCTCGCCTCTCCCGTGCCAACTCGGACGAGACGAGGGTGCTGCCTCAGCCTGTTTGCCGACCGTCGCGTCGTTCGGTGCCCGTCGTAGAACCTGCGCCCTCTCGGCGTGAAGAGCAGCGAGCACATCATGAACCTCCAAAGTCCTTGCCCGCCCTTTCGTCCAGATCCGGGCCGATAGGCCTTGGTGACGTGGATGCCGTTCTCGTCGCACATGTGGCACGTCAGGTAGCGCGTGATCCCGTTGGCGCCCTTGAAGAGCCTCGGGTCCGCGTCGAGGGCGTGCTCGCAGGGAACGCTCATGACAGACAGGGGCGGACGGCTCCGTCTCAGTGGCGGTTCGTACATGATGTCAATCGCCATCGTCCTCGGATCCGCCTTCGGCTTCAGCTTGGGCTTGGGTCGAGCCTTGGGCCGAGCTCCTAGACCACTGACCGAGGACACGTACACGCTCTTGACGTCACCGCCGTCGCCGCTGTAGTCCGTCACGCTGAAGTAGCTGGCCTTCGGCCTGTCCGAGTGGGGCTGCGATGACCTCGATGACTTCGGGCAACTCGCATCACCATGCCAATGTCCGATCTGTCTACAGCTCGCGCAGCGAGTCGTCTTCTTCAGCTTGTCAATGCGTGCGCGTCGCTCAGGGTTCTCGCCTGGGCTGCCCCTGCCACGGACCGCCGGGCTGTCCCTCGAGCTCGCCGCTGACTGCGACCGATCTCCTTGACCGCGTCCTCGGCTGCGTCCTCGACCGCTGCCCTTGCCATGGAACTTCTGCTTGTGCTCAATGATGGCCGCGAAGCTCTCGAGCGCCTCGTCGTCCATCTGCTCTATCTCGTCAAGCGTCGCCTCGTCCTCGCCAAGGTAGTTCTCGTACGTGTCATCTCCGTTGATGGACTGGGCGCCCTGGCTGTTCGAGGCGGCGTCGTCGTCTTCGTACTCTCCATCCTCATCGATGCCGGCCTGCCACGCCGACTTGTGCTGGTGGTGTCCGTGATGCTGCCGTCGTTGACCGAACCGCTGAGGTCGCGGGTCCGGCCTCTGGTCACTCTTGCCCTTCCACTCTCGCTCGTGGATGTTCGGATGCTGCATACGTAATGCCTTGCCGAATGCGTCCTTGTCGTACCTGTTGCCCGCGCTGCTGATGATGCTTGCGTGGTCGGACTTCTCGAGCCCAGAGAACTTCAGCAGCAGGTGGGCTTGCAGGTCGTTGCTGATGCTGGTCTCCTCGCTGACCTTCTTGAGGTCATCGAACGCCTTCGACCGTCTGGTGGTATACTCCTGCATGCTCTCGCCTGGTGACCTCCACACCGACTTGTCGTACAGCGCGCCATCGAACAGCTCAGCCGCCCGAACAGGTCTCTCCTTCAGCACGGACTCTCCCAGGGTGTTCAGCAGAAACTCCAGTCCGACGGTGGCCGCCCTCTTCTTTTCGTAGCTGCCGCCGCCCTTGCCTCCGCTCTCGACGGTCACCGTCTCGAAGGTGAGCAGCTGCTGGTGAGTGAGCGACCTGACCGCATCGTATGCTGTGCCCGAGAGACCGTTCCTGAGGTTGATGGGCGTCGCTATCTGCTTCTCATCGCCCATGCGCCCGAAGAAGGCGTCACGAGCTCGCCTCGCTCTTGGTATTCCTCGAAGAGCGCAGGGTCACCGTCATGCAGCGGGATGTCCTTCTCGAACTCCAGCTTCGACACTCTTGACATGGTCGCAGGTCGCAGATCTGCACACCGCACTCGTAGCGCGGCTGCCGGAAGTAGTAGGAGTTGCAGTGGAACTGCTGCACACCGCGCTCGGCGCGGCTGCCGGGTTGCCAGACACCGCCCAGGTAGTCCAGCCTGTGTGGGTACGCCAATTCCCCACGCCGTGGATGCCGGCCTGCTCCCCGCAGGCGGGCGCGCTGCCCCCGCCACGGGGCGCGCCAATGCAGACCTCCGCGCAGCTGCTGCGGAGGCGGGAGCTGGCCAGGGCGAGTGGGCCAGCTCCGCTACCATCAAGTAGCGGGCCGCCGCCCGCGATCGTTTCTGGTTCTCTGCGCCGTAAACTCAAGAGCTCTGTGAACCAAACGTGAGCGGTCTGAGCGGGTGAGAGGGGCAACGGCACTGGCAGGCTGGGAAATGGGATGATCGCAGATGCAATTCAACAGAGGATGAGGAGGAGGAGGAGGAGGAGGAAGAGGAGGAGGATTCCCCCCGGTTTTGCCTCCCCCGTGTAAGGGGGCCCCTTCCGTCCGTGCGCCACTTGCACCGGGCTCGCTGCCACGCCCCAGAGGCTGTGCTGCCGCGTGACGGCTTCGGGATGGCGCTTGCTTCTCCGCCGTTTTCGCCCTCGCCACCGTTCGCCCTTGCGGCCTGCACCGCGCGGCTATACCCAGTGTCGCTGTGCCGCTGCTCCGCCTGCCGCTCCCCGCCCTGGGGCCGCCCTCGCAGCTGCCGTGGCGCTAGTCGCACCGCAAGTCCATAGGCCCGCCGCCAGGGCGCCCACGCCGCTGCCTCACCCGCCCTTGCGACCCGGCGTGCCGCCCTTGAGCGTCCCGATCTTCCATCCCGTCTCCCTCCTCCTCGTCCTCCTCTTCCTCCTCCTCCTCCTCCTCCTCCTCTTCCTCCTCCTCCTCCTCCTCCTCCTCCTCCTCCTCCTCCCCCTTCTCCTCCTCCTCTTCTTCCTCCTCCTCCTCCTCTTCCTCCTCCTCCTCCTCCTCCTCCTCCAGCTGCTGGGCCCCGCCCGCACTGCGGCTGGTGGCCACGCCCCCGGGTGCGTCGTGATATCGCCCCGCGATTGCTGCCGCGGGTTGCCCTTCAGCCTGGCCGCCCCCTCGCGTTCCCCGCGGCCTCGGAGCGTGAGAGTGCCCCCGCGCTCTGGGCTCGGGCTCCTCTCTGCGGCCGCTCTGTCTCTCCTCCTTCCTCCCCTCTTGCGTGCGGGCCAATTCGCGACTCCGTTTCCTTGTGTTGTCTCGACGCGCGAGCGGATTTCCTCGACCGAGCCGCGACGTACAAAACATGCCCCCCTCCACCTCCTTTTCCGCCTTCCCCCTCATCCCAGTGCCCCTGCCTCCCTCCCTCGTCCCTGCCCCTTCCTCCCTATTCGTTCCTGTCTGCCCCTGCCCCCTCTTGCCATTCCTCAGCTCCCTTCCCCTCCTCACTGCTCCCCCCTCGTCCGTCCCCCTCCGCATCCCCCTTTCCTTCCTCGTCCTTTATTCCGCCTTTCCCCCTGCCTCCGCATCCTTCCTCCTGTATCCCCTCCTCATAACCCCCCTTCGTATTTGTTGCGAACCAGCCGTGGAAGCCCTCCTCCCCCTTCTTCATATGCATTGGGCCTCGGGTGGCCATGATGGTTTCGTCAATGGTGCACGTGTGTTCCTCCCTCCCCCTCCCCCTTCCGTCCCTGCCGCTCCCATGCCTTTGCCCCTTCCCTCCTAATTCCCTCCGCGTCGTCATTCCCTCCCTTCCCATCTTTCATGAGTGCCCCCCATGGGCGGGGCGCCAAAGGAGGGAGGAGAGAGGGGGAGGATGGGAGGAGGAGGAGGAGGAGGAGGAAGAGGAGGAGGAGGAGGAGAAGGAGGAGGAGGCGGAGGAGGAGGATGAGAAGTAGGAGGAGGAAGAGGAGGAGGCGGAGGAGGGGAGGACCAGTGTTATCCCAGAACGCACCAACGATATTGCAATGAACCCTCACTCCAAGCTCCCTCCTGTTAGGTCCCTGCAAACATTGACTTTCAATGCGGGGAATGCACACGTGTAAAACAACCGTATGAGAACCCTCAAGCGTGCCAAAACACAACTCCTTGGACTTTGGCGTCGCGAAGCAACGTGGTTGCTCCGTAGTGACAGTCCTCATCGTGCCAGAACACCATCAGTTGGACGTCCCAGTATTGCGAATCTACGTGACTGTTGTGTCCTAGCAATCCTAAATCGTGCCAGATCACCATCCCGGGGACTCAACCCTACGAGTCTATAAGACGGCTGCAAGTTTTTTAAGACTAATGTGCGCGGCGCCCAGGCCAGAGCCCCATGTTTTGAACCAGCCGCCCTCCATTATTGAAGCTGTCGCAAACTCTTAAGACGAATGTGCACGACGCTACGGCGAGTGCATATTTTGAAAATGGGCCGCCCTCCATCCTTGAAGGTGTTGCGAATTTCAAGCTTCAGGGGCACAAATGGGGAGGAAGTCTCAGGCGAAACGCCCGGCTCGCCCTTCCATGTCTGAGGAGGAGGCGGAGGTGGAGAAGGAGGAGGAGGAGGTGGTGCATGAGTTGCAGAAGGAGCAGGAGGAATAGGAGGGGGCGGGAGGCGGGAGGAGGAGAGGGAGGAGGGATGCGGCGGGAGGAGAGCGGAGGGGGTAGCGAGCCGAGCACCTAGCCCGCCGCACGCCGCAAGACAGAGTCCCCCCCCGCGAGACCGCCGATGCCGGGCCCCCTGGCCGCGGCGCGCAGCCGCCGCGGGCGCCCCCGCAGGAGCCGCCGCCGCTGCCCGAGGGGGCCTCGTTCGAGCGGGCGCTGCCGCGCTTCCCGGCCTGGCTGCGGGGCGGCGAGGACGAGGGGCGCGGCCCAGGGTGCCTTGGGGCCCTCCGCCCTTGCCTGCCTCCTTCGTCGTCGTCGTCGTCGGCGTCGGCGTCGGCGTCGGCGTCGGCGTCGTCGTCGTCGGCGTCGGCGTCGGCGTCGGCGTCGGCGTCGGCGTCGGCGTCGGCGTCGTCGTCGTCGTCGTCGTCGTCGTCGGCGTCGGCGTCGTCGTCGGCGTCGGCGTCGGCGTCGTCGTCGGTCTCGTCGGCGTCGGCGTCGGCGTCGGCGTCGGCGTCGGCGTCGGCGTCGGCGTCGGCGTCGGCGTCGGCGTCTGCGTCGGCGTCGTCGTCGACGTCGACGTCGACGTCGGCGTCGGCGTCGGCGTCGGCGGCGTCGGTCTCGTCGGCGGCGTCGGCGTCGGCGTCGGCGTCGTCGTCGTCGGCGTCGGCGTCGGCGGCATCGTCGGCCATAAAACAGATACCCATAGCCAGCGGAGCGTCAAAAACTGCTCTTTTGCTGCCGCGACGGGCTTCTCGCCTCTCGTCCGCCCACTTTTCTTGGAGGCAGTTTTGAAGCATTTAGGGGGCCGTTCGGGAGCCCCCAGGGGCTTTTTTGGGCCGTGTAGGGCGCCTCTTGGAGCGTCATGGGGCCGTCTTGGGCCACCTTGGCCCCTCTTGGGTCGTCTTGGGGCCATCTTGGGCTGTCTTGGGCCCGCTTCAGGCCCCTCTTAATAAGGGTCGGTCCTCTTGGGCCATCTTTGGCGCCTCTGGGGCCGCTCTGAGGCCGTCTGGGGCCATCTTGGAGCCCTCTTGCGGTGATCTTGGAGGCTTCTTGGACCCCCTTGGACGCCTCGAAGAGCCAACGAACAAATTTGCTGAACATGAACAGTTTTCCGAAGGGGATGTGCAGACCCCCTGTGGGTCAGGGGCTTCTTGGGTACGCACCTGTTTGGGTTTACTGGCATGCTTCTCCAGCGCCTCTTAGAGCCAGCTTGAAGCCTCTGGGGGCCTCTGGGGGGCTGTTTGGGGACTTCTTTGGGCCTCTCTTGGGCCTCTTGGGGGCCTGCTGGCGGTTGGGGGGTCCACTTGGGGCGGAGGGCTCGAAATGTGAGTTGAAGTTCCCCTCGTGGGCCCCTCTTTGGGCCACCTAGTGCCGTGTTTAGAGCGCCTCTTGGACCGCCCTGGAGCTCTGTTGGGCCGTTTTCGATCTCTCTTAGGGGGCCTCTTGGGGCGATCTTGGGGGCCGTTTTGGGCCGTTCTGGACGTTGCTTATTTTTTTGAATATAACAGATGCTGAACATATATTTTTCCTAAACGGCTTGGCGCAATTCTTGACGCTTTGACTTTAAACGGAGAAGGTTAAAGGCGAGGTATAAATCGAGCATGTACCGCTGCCGTGCCTGGCTCAAGCCGGGCCCGGCCAAATATGTGATTGTGCCTCACCGAGGCGCACGACTTGCATCAGAGATCGGAAAATACCTTTTCCATTGACGATGCCCATCCTATCCTTTACTCCAGATCCCATGCTTCGTCTTGCTCTCTTGCTCATGCGATATGAGCCAAAGCCTGGGATATGGCAACGCTTAAAGCGTAACACATACCTAAGCTTACCAGCTTGTTTTCGACTTGGTAGCGGAGCTGGCTACACTCTCGTGTGGCTGGCTCTCGCTCTGATTCCTGTAATCCACGGCACAACTTGGTGGACTACTACTACGGTGGAATACCATGTTGCGCCGGCTCTGCGAGGAGCGGAGCCAGTCCGCGATCGAGCTAGCGGGGCAACCCGCGAACTCGAGACGCTCTCTCCTACTTCACTGCGCCACTTCACTCCCGACTTCCACCAGATGCCAATCGGCAACTCGATCGAGAACGTGGTCACCCTGCGGGGCTACCCGCAGCGGGGCCACCTGCATCCCGTGCCAGTCAGGCGCCTCACGGCTACTACGCCAGAGCCTGACAAACCACAGCCTAAACCAATCACCGAAGCCGAAATGCACATGCACTGGATTAAGATAACTATCTTCGGCATTCTGTGGGTAATAATGGGATGTGCTGTGGGATACATGCGGCAGGGGATGGACGACACGCGTACTACTGGCCCCTCATGGGACCCTGCCGGTACTACGCCTTTTCGCGAATATGTTCGCGAAGTACATGCATGGTTAAACGTAACGAGCGGCAATATGACACCACCACAACAAGCTGCAGCACTACAACGAGGCCTTCAAGGTCTTGCTCGTCGTATCGCCATGCAGGTCCCCTCCCAGATCATCAATTATGGTGTAACTGTCAATGGACAGCCAACGGATGCAGTAACATATATACTGTACTTACTGAGCACCAAATTTGAAAATCTGGAAGATGAGCGCCAGCTCAACTCTGGCACTGCCCTTATCGACTTTCGCGTCGAAAGGGGCGAGCGAATCGACTCAGTGTTAGCTCGGTTCGAGATGGCCCGTGACGAGGCTAACTCTGTTGGATTTGTCATCCCCAACTTTCAGATCCTAACGCTGATTCTTTTCAGAGCGTTAGGCGTTGGCGCGTCACGAGCCCAACACCTGCTGGAGCCCTTTAATCATCAGATGCCCCGAACACAAGCAGACTATGACAGGCTGCTGACCAGGATGAGGAACTACGGACATGTCGCCGAGCGCTCTCCTGGCAACATAGCGGGTATCTTCACAGGGCACCACTCACATGCAGGTGTCTACGCCACGACTGCGGGGTCACCCGCTGGTCCTGGCGAGCCAAATCCCTGGGCTGACCCAGCCGATATGCCCAACGAGGCCACTGCCCTTTTAGGGCAGACTGGCCAGGCATCGGCAGAGGCAGCTGAGGCGAACGCCTGGTCGAACTACTCGCCAGGCGCCGCCTACACTGCAAGCCCGCCCTCGGGCACAACCCTCTGGGGCCAAGCGGAGTCATCCGCTCAAGGGTCTCAGCCACCCTCACCGTTTGAATCTGGCACTGACACAGACACCTCATCTGACGATGAGCACAATGGCATAGTCTCTGCTGGTAATGACTATCCAGCGGATGACACTCACCTTTCTGAACAACAAAGAGCGGAAGCCGCTTTTATGGCCTATCGCAAATCAAAACGCCGTTGGAGGCGCTTTATGAAGAAACCAGTCAGAAAAGTGAGACGTGCAGTACGCCGACATTTCAAACGATATGGAAAGGGTCGTGGCAAAGGGGGTCGCAGACGCCGTATGCATGGTAGGGGTATCACTGCTTTCCTCACGTCCTTAACTGATATAGCCTTTGAAGAAGTTCTTATCGGAGGCAAAGGTCGGGGTCACAGGCGGACCTCCGGTAAGGGAAAAGGGCGGAGGGGCAACCCTAGGGACGCTTCTGGCAATACTATGAAGTGTCATACATGCGGTAGCACAGATCATTTGCGCGATCAATGCCCGAAGGGGAAAGGAAAGGGATCCGTACATTTGGCTCAAAATTCTTTTATGGATGACATAGACTACATTGACTACGAGTTTTACGTCAATCCAGAAGCGGCTCCCGCTGCGGGCTCCTCCACGTATTACGTGATGGCCCGCTACGCTGAAGCAACCGTAGCCCTGGAAGACTACGCAGTGACCCTCTTCGACGAGTTCCACGGCTGGGACGAGGTCGACGAGGTCGCGTTCAATGCTTGGTTCGGTCTTCCAGCGGGGCCACCCGCCGGCGACGAGGTCTCCGAAGCTGAGACCGTCCCGGCGACCGAGGAAGAGCTCACCGCCGCGCTGGCAACGCAGGTGATTGGCACGCCGTTGCTGCCAGACCTTTCGCGAGCTGGTTCGGAGGCGGGAGACGCTGATGACGAAATGCGGGGCCATCCCGCGTACTCTGACTCCGAAGAGGCGGAAGATGACTATAAGGACATGCTCCAAGAGCAGGTCGCTGAAGCAATCCGACTCCTGAGTGCGCCAGCACATCAGCAGATAACCATGAACGACCTGCTGTCGCGCCCAGGGGCTGCACGGCTGCGTCCATACCTGGATTCGGACATGTCGGCACCTCAGATGCTGACAGCACTCCAGGCTCTAGCGGGGTCACCCGCCGAAGTGACGCCAGCCGCAACAGCGGGGCCACCCGCTTGGTCTATGGATGTATTTATGCAAGGTTGTGATCAAATAGACATTAACGACCTCACGATGGAGCAGTTAAACGACATCGGGTACTTCCGAAGCCCGTATCAACACGTGTTCATGGTCCAGGACAGCTCAGAGGACTCGGAGGACATGCGCTACGCCAAGAGGGACAGACGACCGTCGCCTCCCCGAGACTCAGAGCATGACGATCAAAGGCCAATGGAACGTGGTAGTGCGTCAGCGGGGCCAGCCCGCAGGAGGAGCCGTTCAGCTCCCAGACGCCCTACACATGATGCATCGGGCTATCCATACAGTACTGAGCACTCCGTTGGAGTATCCGCTCAGCATGTGCCGGATTGGTACATCAACTGGTACCCCGGCTATTCGATGGACGTGATCCGCCACTGGTATTCTAAGGAGTACTGCACCAAAAGGGACGAAACTGGCGTGATAATACGTACCAAGGGTGGCAAGACCAAAACGCCAGAGGCTTGGGACAAAAGGGCTAAGAAACAGGAGATCATCAACGATCGCAAGACATACAGGAAACAAGTATGTCAGTGCGAGCCCTTCAAAGGTCACATGCGCAGTTGTCCGATGGACCGCCCCTCCAGGAGTCCTCATCACGGTGAGACCCCGTGGAATTGGTCTCATGGAGATGACGCTGGCAACGTCCATGATCCTAACAAGGAGGTCCCTGGAGGAGGAAAGCGCATCACCGAAGCCGATCGCGTCCCTATGACCGAAGAGGTGGCCAACATCGTCAGGGAAAATTGGGTACAGCTTCCCAATGACCATCGCCTCAAGGAATGGAACCGCCGATTCCATAAAGAGGCGGGGTCACCCGCAGGATCCAGTAAAGAGGCGGGGTCACCCGCAGGATCCAGCAAAGAAGCGGGGTCACCCGCAGACGCGGCGCCAGCCGCTGGGTCCGCGGACGACGATT